AGAATAAAAATGAAAATTGCTGAATAGGGTAGTGTGGAAGAAATCTGTTTCCCCGAAGAGGTTAGCAGGTCTCCTTTAATCCTTTTAGCGGTAATCTTATTAGTTACCCGTACCTTACCTACTTGCAGACACGTCCATATAAAATACACGTATCATACAGACACCTGCATCCGTGTGTTTGCATTCTTTAGCCCTGATTCATTTCAGGAATGTCGCTAAATGGAATCGCTACAAATGTTGACAGATTACAAGATAATATTCGCAAGTATGTCGTAACTACTATGCTTTTTATGGTTCCGAGAGATAAACTATAATGATAAATTATAGTATGCAATTGAAATTTTACTGATTTACTTGAAATAGGTATATAGTTTGTAGTTAATTTTTAGTAAAAAGTATAATTTTGTAGAGTCCATAGATCCTGAGATATCGGATGATTTGGTAACGTGATATCAACCTAGCGGATCGACCAATTTTCCGATATCCTTAAAACTTATATTAATACATTCACTACAAATTAGCAAATTCCAATTAAAGCCCGAGATCAACTGAAAAGAATATGTGATCTGCTAGCATAGTTTCAAACTGGCAGATCATCCGATTTCTTGGGATCTATCATCATCATAAGGTCGTCAGTCCTAAGACTGATTGAGCTCTACAAAATGATTATCTTTTGATACTAATTCACTATGATTTTGAATACCATGAAAAACTATTAACTGTAAAGCTGAACTTATTATTTCAATATGTCTCCACTTTTTTATTTTATTTGTCAAAGTTTTAATTTCGATATCGGTCTGAAGTACATAATTTCATTCAAACTTTAATCCGGCCCTAACGACCTTCAGCTACTTATCTATTGTTCATCTATGAACGGACTTCAAGACTCAGCCAAACTGTATTTTTGAGGTTTCTATAACTAACAAGAAAGGAAAATATTTAACGAACAAGTAGGCATGTTCTGCGAAATGAATGCATCCAAAGTGGTTCTTCGATTCCAAGAACGATGATGATGGTAGTGGTACGCCTACACTTGTTAATAAAGTGTCGTCAAACTTTCTTGCTACATGTAATATAATTTATTAAAACGTTTAGGGCGAGGTTAAGCAGTTTTCGTTTTGGCTGTCGTCATCTGTTCCTTCTCATTTGACTTTAAATTGATTACGTGTCCTTTTCTGAATCACGTTTCTAACAAATTAAACATTTTTTGCACTACACGGGATTAATCAACTTGTATGACCGCCTGACCTGGCTAAATTTGATAATTTCTGGGTACACCTAAAGATATTCAGGTAAAGGTCTAGATGATGGCCCCTTCGGGGATAAGGGTGGGTGGGATCGAAAGAGGAGGTCTCCCCCACCACTATACCATAAAAAGTTCGTGGCGGTCTCACCCCCCGTAAATAGTTATGGGGGTTCAATGTTAATAAATATGCCAATTTTTATACATTTCTAGGCATGTAAATATTTATATAGTCATTCTTAAACAATATTCAAAGGTAAAACTAATGAAAAATACATAAAAATATTGAGAAAGTTATATAAAACATTATTTAAATATCTTTATCAATAGGGTAGGTTAGGTTAGGTTATCGGGTTTTGTTCAAGTGACCACCCTCTTTCGATCCCCCACCTCCACCCGCTTGAAAATAATTTTTTTATTGAATTTTATTTGAATTATAGTGTATGAAAATTGTGAAAATAATCAACTTTCAACCCCCATAACTTTTTATTGGGGTGAGACCGCCGCATATTTTTTATGGGGTTCTACTCAGGTGACCACCCTCTTTCGATCCCCACTATCCCCACCCCCTTAGGGGGTGAGGAGCCATCATCTAACCCGCACAACTTTTTATGGGGGTGAGACCGCCACGAACTTTTTATGGTGCCATCATCTAGACATTTACCGATATTCAAGTTTAGTCAAAAATCTCATAACACAAAATACCGTTATGATTTTAAACGTGATGTTTAACTGCTTGTGTATTAACTAATTTATTTATTTGGATTTTATTAAAAACTTCCAAGTAAAGTAGGAACCTAATCTAAATTTTAAATTAGATTTTCTATACATTTCTCAAGCAAAGTATGACTTCACAGATAACGTACTATTACAGCCCTGTATCTAATCTGTTTCTTTAACAAGAATAAAAATGAAAATTGCTGAATAGGGTAGTGTGGAAGAAATCTGTTTCCCCGAAGAGGTTAGCAGGTCTCCTTTAATCCTTTTAGCGGTAATCTTATTAGTTACCCGTACCTTACCTACTTGCAGACACGTCCATATAAAATACACGTATCATACAGACACCTGCATCCGTGTGTTTGCATTCTTTAGCCCTGATTCATTTCAGGAATGTCGCTAAATGGAATCGCTACAAATGTTGACAGATTACAAGATAATATTCGCAAGTATGTCGTAACTACTATGCTTTTTATGGTTCCGAGAGATAAAC